GCCTTGCGCCACATCTGATCGCGTTTTTTATTTCTTTAGTTTCGCGTTAGATTTTTAGGGGTATTCTTCATTTTAATGATTTAAAAAGTTCTTTTTATATGCAAATATAGAGTTCAGAAGAAGATAAATACATAGATTACAGGTGCGGAGAATATAACAAAACAATTGCAAAATTACTTAAATATTACCTTTATTTTTTAACTTTGAAGCATCTTCAAAGAAACTTACATAACAATGAAGTTTTTCTTGGCACAACTGACTGCACAATGGTCGAAAAGTTGTGATAACAACAAAAAAGATGAGGACGATATTCCGAATGTATATAGTGTAGATAATGATAACTCTTCATGCCAGAAATTCAGACAGAAGGCAATCAGGTGATAAGAACAGCAAAGATGAGGACAATAGTCTGAATGTATATAGTGTAGATAATGATAACTCTTCATCCCAGAAATTCAGACAGAAATCTTTCTTGTTTAATTCTCATAAGTAAAAGTCACATATTTGTCCTTTACAAACTTGAGTGACATAAGTCCAATATCTCGGAATACATATATATTTTTTGGATTTCCATTTCCTTATTCTGGTAATGTATCGAACTTCGAGTTTTCTCCGTTTACGATGAACCGTTAAACTCTTAATGAGGATCCATGCTTTGAGCACTTTCTTGATCTTAGATTCATTTCAGATATCGTAGATCTCTTTTACGCGAACACTTACTAAAGAAGCATGAAAAATGGTCGACTCATTCTAACTTTCCATAAAGTATACGTCTCTTTCTGCCATGTTGGATCTTTCTAAGAATCAGATTAGACCAAAAAACAGGTTTATTACTGGGCCGGAGCTGCTCAATAGGGCAGGTTGATTTTTCACTTATTCTTAGTAAATCAATTTTATTTTATCTTAAAATTTATTTTAGTAAATGTTTAGTAAATCAACATTGAACTCGTTGTTAAAGCTAGAGTTTGATGTGATAAGTATTTATGCCAAAAATTAAATTCCTAACTTTTAGAAATTGTTGAGCATTTATTTTTAAAGATCGTCTGAAAAAATGTACAGAAATACCTAATTTCCATAGGTTTTTGCTTACAATCTGACTTCAAAATTTTACTATTTCAAGAATAAATCCAAATAATGTTCATATCCTTTGTATTACATACATTGAATAAAATATATATATTCAAACCAGAATTTTATTTATGAATCACCATAATCAAAATATGCAGTTTTTTTTACTATATTCGATAAGTAAAAACTGTGTGAAAAAATTGTAAAAGATTACAAAAAAGCCTACTCAATGAATAAGATTTCTTAGATCATAATTTAAAAAATAGATAAAAATGTATACAATACCATAATACAAATTATAGGAAAAATGTTTTAAATTTGCATTGTTTATTCAAAATCACACTAAAAATACTGCACTGTATAACATTACATCATAATATAACTAAATTGTTCAATATAATTTCCCTTTGAGGTAAATGAAAGTTTTATTTCATGGCACAATGGATTAATAATACTGTTCTTGTAACATGCATCTTGTTCATATACAATTTGTAAAGCTTCAGTAAATTATAAATTTTTCACCGGAATTAAATTAAACTTAATCTTTTAAACTCGTTTCCTCATACTCAAATGGTAACAACTTGGGAAAAAAAAATGTGTCTTTATTTATCATAGGAAACCTCAACTTTCGAACTGAGTGCACTACCATGATTCCAGAATCGACCTGCCCTACTGCACAGTCATTTCCTTTCCAGCCGTGATCGAATTCAAAATCGTTTATGCAGTCTTGTGGAGGAAGGTATAATTTTCCATTCTATAACGTATTTCCCACGGACGCAACGTAGCAATCCCATTGCTACTCTATCGCTATTTCCATGGCAAACGTTCAGACGACCTTCATTCATTAGTTCCACGAATTCAGACCATTACAGTTAAGTCACATCTTGTTACTTTTATAGAGTTGAATCACTCTCACTTCCCCGTGTTCCAAATATAAGAATAAAGATCCACTAAGATAGTTTTTTTCCCAAGAACCGCTACTCGTGGAACAGGCTCTTTCATGGAGGCAACCTTGAAGACAACAATCTTAACCTCTTAAGAGTCAATGGTCAATAGTTACTTATACTCCTTTTCCTCATAATATCCACTCAATATCACTTTTTATTCCATTCATGTTGCACATCTAATTCATCATTACCATTTTGACTGTAACCCACTACCTTGAGTGGTTTTTGAGCCTTAGATTGTGTAGACTTTAGTATAAAAAATTCAAATGACATTCCTGCAAATGTGAATTCATAGAACAATTCATTACAAGGAAAGATTGTCAATACCATTTTAGCAAAAGGTATTTATTTCAATATGTTTTACATTATTTCATTCGGACTATTACTGTTATTATCACAACTTTTCGGTCATAATGCCTCTCTGGTTTCTTGAGTAAAAGCCCAGCTTCCACTAAGATGAGGAAATTAATTCGAATGTAAATAATGTAAATATTGAATCCTGAAGACAGCATCCAAGCTGTTTTGACAGAGTAGAAAATATGTCTTCCTTCGCAAGACCGATTAAACGATTTTGGTCTCTATCCATACGAGAAATTGTGGATTGAACGGCTCCAGTCCCTATATATCCGAATATTGCATTTTGGGGTTTAATCTGACTTTTCGTGTAATCTAACTCTTGTGAAGATAAAGTTTGAAAAACGGAGTCAGATACCCCATGGATCGATAGAACTAGACGACCATTTTTCTACTATCTTTAAGAATGGGTCTTATTTATAAACTTTAGTTGAGGTCTGGCGTGAACCCAACATATGTTCAAACATAGCGTGAACCCAACATGGAGCCTCAGTTATCTCCCTTTGAATTGTTAAAGCAAGGAGAGAATATATGCAATTCTCCGATCATTTTGATTTTTCGAAGTGCATCCATAAACTGTAATATCTTCTGCATAGATGTTTGCTAATAATATGAGGATGTACCCTAGACAGATCATTAGTAATAAAAGAAGTAATGAATATGCAACGTCCGAAAGGTATGCAGGTTATTCAACTTATCTGCGAGCGTGTGTTTACGATACACCGGATTTTAGTTCACTTCCGAGAGCAAACACTCATTTCAGAGCACGTTCTAATTTTAGTATCTAAAAGGACTAAAAATTCATGATTTTACAGAAAGACGTTGGTAAGAAAACAGAAAAGTGTGATTTTTATTGCTGTTTTTTTTTAAAAATACACAACAAGAAAGAATATCTTGAAAGCATATTTTCATCTGTTTTTGTCACAATTCCTCTGTCAAATTCCGAGTTTCACGCATTTTAGCTACAAAAATGTCACACCTTAGCAATTGTAAGTTAACCTTTAGAAATGAAATTCCACATCCATAACGATACAGTACAAAGCTATAGAGTTCGATTAAACAAGTCATTTTCAACACACCAGTCGATTTCCAATTTTTTGTATAAGAGATAAAAATAGAAAAGAAGCAGTTTCGCAACTTGTAAGACAAAATAATGAATATTATTTTTTTTTAAATAATAAAAACATCTCAGAGAATTATGGCACCGGAATATTAAATAATTGAACTAAATAGCGACAATCATGTTCAATGCATACATTATAAGGAACACGGTACTTCAATGTTTGAAATCTCGTGTATCTCTTAAAGGAATCTTTATCCGTATTTTTGAATCTTCATTACCTTTGAAATTTTCATTTTTACGTCATTTTGTGGAATTTATTCCTATTCAACGACCACTTTGAAAGTTTTTGAAAGTGAATATCAAATTAGCTGCGTAGTCAGTGTCATAGTGGAAAGAATATAATCATACTAATTTAGTTTTTGCGATGAATTATATAACGCTTTAAACCGTTTACGTACAATGGGACAATATTTAAGACAAAGAATAACTGGAAATCAAGTTGATTTCTGTAATTTTGAGATCAGTCATTCCCGTTCTATGTGATCTGAGGTAATTAATCTCGTCCTTTTTGCTGTTTTGCCTACGGTGAAATCACACAGAAAACACTGATCACGAAGTTAAGCAACGTTGAGCCCGGTCAGTACTTATATGTGAGACTGCCTGATAACATATGGTACTGTATTGCTTAGAATCCGAAATATATTTCGACTTTAATTGATCCACAAAAAGTTGATAAGCCGTGAAAGGTTTTTGTTGTTTTGACATATCATTTCGGCCGATCCATTGTATGGTCTTCTGGTCTCTGTTGGCTAACACCATCTTCCGGTTTGCACTATTGATACAAACAGCTGTTTTTGTTGACGCTGTACGCATGGAAAAGGCTGTAGAATGTGTCAGCCAAGAATGTGAAAAGGCTGTAGAATGTGTCAGCCAAAGATTTTGTATAATAACTCAAGCAACAAAAGAAAATGAGAACAACCCTTAGAGTAATATTTTAAAAATCACTTGGGTATTCAAAACAGTTGCTCTTTGTCCATCTTGGAAAGGGCACCGATTTAAGAAACATCGTTGTCTTGATATCGTTTAAAGACATACTATTTGACAATGATCCTCAATTTTGCTATTTCGATCTCTACCTTTAGACAGGCAGGCTTTCCCACCGATGTTTAGGTATACAAACAATACAAATGGAAATGATATGAATACTTCAACGACTAATGACAATCATTTCGTGACTTTTTAAAAAATAACCATCAACAAATTTAAAGGACCTTGCCTGGGTGGAAGCTATTTTTTATGATTGCTGGGTTATTTTACCGCTTTAGATTTTCCTAACAAAGACAGTTACGTAAGAGAAAAAAATCAAAGAGCAAGAGGAATATTTAAAGAAAGAAAAATATAGAAGTAGTAAAAGATACGTGTAGAGAGAAAAATTACTCGGACAAGAAGAAAAGAAGATAGAAAACGTGGAAGGGGAGAGACACACACAAAAAAGAAATAATGTTTGATATAAATAATGTCAGAAATAATGTTTTATTGCACTCAATTCGTGTTTTACAAAATAAAGCATGAAAATAATTGCTATCCATCTATCTATTCATCTATTTATCTATCTATCTTCTTTTCATATTTATTTATCTATTTATCGTTTTTCATATCTACTGTTTTTTCCATGTCTATCTATCTATCTATCTATCTATCTATCTATCTATCTATCTATCTTCTTTTCATATCGTTTTATCTATCGTTTTTTCATATCTATCGTTTTATTTCATATGTATCTATCTTTTCATATCTTTTTATACATAGTTTTTTTCATATCTATCTATCGTTTTTTTTCTATCTATCTATCTATCTATCTTCTTTTCATATCGTTTTATCTATCGTTTTTTCATATCTATCGTTTTATTTCATATGTATCTATCTTTTCATATCTTTTTATACATAGTTTTTTTCATATCTATCTATCGTTTTTTTCCTATCTATCTATCTATCTATCTATCTATCTATCTATCTATCTATCTATCTATCTATCTATCTTCTTTTCATATCGTTTTATCTATCGTTTTTTTCATATCTATCGTTTTATTTCATATGTATCTATCTTTTCATATCTTTTTATACATAGTTTTTTTATATCTATCTATCGTTTTTTCCTATCTATCTATCTATCTATCTATCTATCTATCTATCTATCTTCTTTTCATATCGTTTTATCTATCGTTTTTTCATATCGATCGTTTTATTTCATATGTATCTATCTTTTCATATCTTTTTTATACATAGTTTTTTCATATCTGTCTATCGTTTTTCCCATTCTATCTATCTATCTATCTATCTATCTATCTATCTATCTATCTATCTATCTATCTATCTATCTTCTTTTCATATCGTTTTATCTATCGTTTTTCATATCTATCGTTTTATTTCATATGTATCTATCTTTTCATATCTTTTTATACATAGTTTTTTCATATCTATCTATCGTTTTTCCCTATCTATCTATCTATCTATCTATCTATCTATCTATCTATCTATCTATCTATCTATCTATCCATCTATCGATCTATCTATCTATCTATCTTCTTTTCATATCGTTTTATCTATCGTTTTTTTTTCATATCTATCGTTTTATTTCATATGTATCTATCTTTTCATATCTTTTTATACATAGTTTTTTTCATATCTATCTATCGTTTTTTTCCCATTCATCTATCTATCTATCTATCTATCTATCTATCATCTATCTATCTATCTATCTATCTATCTATCTATCTTCTTCTTTCATATCGTTTTATCTATCGTTTTTCATATCTATCGTTTTATTTCATATGTATCTATCTTTCATATCTTTTTTATACATAGTTTTTTTCATATCTATCTATCGTTTTTCCTATCTATCTATCTATCTATCTATCTATCTATCTATCTATCTATCTATCTATCTATCTATCTATCTTCTTTTCATATCGTTTTATCTATCGTTTTTTTTTCATATCTATCGTTTTATTTCATATGTATCTATCTTTTCACATCTTTTTATACATAGTTTTTTTTCATATCTATCTATCGTTTTTTCCTTTTATCTATCTATCTATCTATCTATCTATCTATCTATCTATCTATCTATCTTCTTTTTCATATCGTTTTATCTATCGTTTTTCATATCGATCGTTTTATTTCATATGTATCTATCTTTTCATATTTTTTTATTCATAGTTTTTTTCATATCTGTCTATCGTTTTTTCCTATCTATCTATCTATCTATCTATCTATCTATCTATCTATCTATCTATCTATCTATCTATCTATCTATCTATCTATCTATCTTCTTTTCATATCGTTTTATCTATCGTTTTTTCATATCTATCGTTTTATTTCATATGTATCTATCTTTTCATATCTTTTTATACATAGTTTTTTTCATATCTATCTATCGTTTTTTCCTATCTATCTATCTATCTATCTATCTATCTATCTATCTATCTATCTATCTATATCTATCTTCTTTCATATCGTTTTATCTATCGTTTTTTCACATATCTATCGTTTTATTTCATATGTATCTATCTTTTCATATCTTTTTATACATAGTTTTTTTTCATATCTATCTATCGTTTTTTTTCCTATTCATCTATCTATCTATCTTCTTTTCATATCGTTTTATCTATCGTTTTTTTCATATCTATCGTTTTATTTCATATGTATCTATCTTTTCATATCTTTTTTACATAGTTTTTTACATATCTATTTTTTTTATTCATATCTATCTATTATTTTTATCATATCTATCTATCTATCTATCTATCTATCTATCTATCTATCATATCGTTTTATCTATCGTTATCTATCTATCGTTTTATTTCATATCTATCTATCTATCTTTTTTACATATCGTTTTATCTATCGTTTTTTTTTCATATCTATCGTTTTATTTCATATGTATCTATCTATCTATTTCTATCTTCTTTTCATTTTTTTATAGTTTTTTCATATATCTATCTTTTCATCTTTTTTTTTCATAGTTTTTCATATCTATCGTTTTTTCTATCTATCTATCTATCATATCTATCTATCTATCTATCTTCTTTTCATATCGTTTTATCTATCGTTTTTTCATATCTATCGTTTTATTTCATATGTATCTATCTTTTCATATCTTTTTTTATACAAAGTTTTTTCATATCTATCTATCGTTTTTTCCTATATCATTCATCTATCTATCTATCCTATCTATCTATCTATCTATCTATCTATCTATCTATCTATCTTCTATTTCATATCGTTTTATCTCTCGTTTTTTTCACATCTATCGTTTTATTTCATATGTATCTATCTTTTCATATCTTTTTATACATAGTTTTTTCATATCTATCTATCGTTTTTTCCCATCTATCCATCTATCTATCTATTCATCTATCTATCTATCTATCTATCTATCTATCTATCTATCTATCTTCTTTTCATATCGTTTTATCTATCGTTTTTTCATATCTATCTTTTTTATTTCATATGTATCTATCTTTTCATATCTTTTTATACATAGTTTTTTCATATCTATCTATTGTTTTTTTCTATCTATATCTATCTATCTATCTATCTATCTATCTTTCATATCTATCTATCGTTTTATCTATCTATCTATCTATCTTTTTTTCATATCGTTTTATCTATCGTTTTTTTTCATATCTATCGTTTTATTTCATATGTATCTATCTTTTTTCATATCTTTTTATACATAGTTTTTTCATATCTATCTATCGTTTTTTTTTTTTTATCTATCTATCTATCTTTCATATCTATCTATCTATCTATCTATCGTTTATCTATCTATCTATCTATCTATATCTTCTTTTCATATCGTTTTATCTATCGTTTTTTTTTTTCATATCTATCGTTTTATTTCATATGTATCTATCTTTTCATATCTTTTTTATACATAGTTTTTTCATATATCTATCTATCGTTTTTTCCTATCTATCTATCTATCTATCTATCTATCTATCCATCTATTCATCTATCTATCTATCTATCTATCATCTTCTTTCATATCGTTTTATCTATCGTTTTTTCATATCTATCGTTTTATTTCATATGTATCTATCTTTTCATATCTTTTTATACATAGTTTTTTTCATATCTATCTATCGTTTTTTTCCTATCTATCTATCTATCTATCTATCTATCTATCTATCTATCTATCTATCTATCTATCTATCTATCTATCTTCTTTTCATATCGTTTTATCTATCGTTTTTTCATATCTATCGTTTTATTTCATATGTATCTATCTTTTTTCATCTTTTTTATACATAGTTTTTTCATATCTATCTATCGTTTTTTCCCCTATCTATCTATCTATCTATCTATCTATCTATCTATCTATCTATCTATCTATCTTCTTTTCATATCGTTTTATCTATCGTTTTTTCATATCGATCGTTTTATTTCATATGTATCTATCTTTTCATATCTTTTTATACATAGTTTTTTTCATATCTATCTATCGTTTTTTCCTATCTATCTATCTATCTATCTATCTATCTATCTATCTATCTATCTATCTATCTATCTATCTTCTTTTCATATCGTTTTATCTATCGTTTTTTCATATCTATCGTTTTATTTCATATGTATCTATCTTTTCACATCTTTTTTTATACATAGTTTTTTTCATATCTATCTATCGTTTTTTCCTATCATCTATATCTATCTATCTATTCATCTATCTATCTATCTATCTATCTATCTATCTTCTTTTCATATCGTTTTATCTATCGTTTTTTCATATCTATCGTTTTATTTCATATGTATCTATCTTTTCATATCTTTTTTTATACATAGTTTTTTCTTTTATATCATCTATCTAGTTTTTTATCTATATCTATCTATCTATCTTTTTTTCATATCGTTTTATCTATCGTTTTTTTCATATCTATCGTTTTATTTCATATGTATCTATCTTTCATATCTTTTTATCTATCTATCTATCGTATTTATCCTATCTATCTATCTATCTATCTATCTATCTATCTATTTTTATATCGTTTTATCTATCGTTTTTTTCGTTTTTTCATATCGATCGTTTTATTTCATATGTATCTATCTTTTTTCACATCTTTTTATACATAGTTTTTTTCATATCTATCTATCGTTTTTTTTATCTATTCATCTATCTATCTATCTATCTATCTATCTATCTATCTATCTATCTATCTATCTATCTTCTTTTTCATATCGTTTTATCTATCGTTTTTTCATATCTATCGTTTTATTTCATATGTATCTATCTTTCTTTTTATACATAGTTTTTTATACATAGTTTTTTTTTTATCTATCTATCTATCTATCTATCTATCATATCTATCTATCTATCTTTTTTTCCTATCGTTTTATTCATATCTATCGTTTTATTTCATATATCTATCTTTTCATATCTTTTTATCTAGTTTTTTCATATCTATCTATCGTTTTATCTATCTATCTATCTATCTATCTTCTTTTCATATCGTTTTATCTATCGTTTTTCATATCTATCGTTTTATTTCATATGTATCTATCTTTTCATATCTTTTTATACATAGTTTTTTCATATTCATCTATCGTTTTCCTATCTATCTATCTATCTATCTATCTATCTATCTATCTATCTATCTATCTATCTATCTATCTATCTTCTTTTTCATATCGTTTTATCTATCGTTTTTTTCATATCTATCGTTTTATTTCATATGTATCTATCTTTTCATATCTTTTTATACATAGTTTTTTTCATATCTATCTATCGTTTTTTCCCATCTATCTATATCTATCTATCTATCTATCTATCTATCTATCTATCTATCTATTCTTTTCTATCGTTTTATCTATCTATCTATCGTTTTATTTCATATGTATCTATCTTTTCATATCTTTTTATACATAGTTTTTTCATATCTATCGATCGTTTTTTTATTTCTATATGTATCTATCTATTATCTATCTATCTTTATATACATATCTTTTTTTATATCGTTTTATCTATCGTTTTTTTATCTATCGTTTTATTTCATATGTATCTATCTTTTCTATTTTTTATACATATCTATCTATCTATCGTTATCTATATCTATCTATCTATCTATCTATCTATCTATCTATCTATCTATCTTCTTTTCATATCGTTTTATCTATGTTTTTTTCATATCTATCGTTTTATTTCATATGTATCTATCTTTTTCATATCTTTTTATACATAGTTTTTTTTTCATATCTATCTATCGTTTTTTTCCTATCTATCTATCTATCTATCATCTATCTATCTATCTATCTATCTATCTATCTATCTATCTTCTTTTCATATCGTTTTATCTATCGTTTTTCATATCTATCTTTTTATTTCATATGTATCTATCTTTTCATATCTTTTATACATAGTTTTTTTTTTCATATCTATCTTTTTTTTTTCTATCTATCTATCTATCTATCTATCTATCTATCTATCTATCTATCTATCGTTATCTATCTATCTATCTTCTTTTCATATCGTTTTATCTATCGTTTTTTTCATATCTATCTATCGTTTTATTTCATATGTATCTATCTTTTTTCATATCTTTTTATACATAGTTTTTTTATATCATCTATCTATCTATTGTTTTTTTTTTATTTCTATCTATTCTATTCTATCTATCTTTTATCTATCTTTTCATATCTATCTATCTATCTATCTATCTATCTTCTTTTCATATCGTTTTATCTATCTATTTTTTTCATATCTATCGTTTTATTTCATATGTATCTATCTTTTCATATTTTTATACATAGTTTTTTTCATATATCTATTCATTGTTTTTTCCCCCATTTTTTATCTATCTATCATTTATCATCTATCATCTATCTATCTATCTATCTATCTATCTATCTATCTATCTATCTATCTATCTATCTTCTTTTTCATATCGTTTTATCTATCGTTTTTTTCATATCTATCTTTTTTATTTCATATGTATCTATCTTTTTTTTTATCATAGTTTTTTTTCATATCTATCTATCGTTTTTTTTTTATCTATCTATTTATCTATCATCATTTATCTATCTATTCATCTATCTATCTATATCTATCTTTTTTCATATCGTTTTATCTATCGTTTCATTTCATATCTATCGTTTTATCTATATCTATCTTTTCTATCTTTTTATACATAGTTTTTTTCATATCTATCTATTGTTTTTTTTTCTATCTATCTATCTATCTATCTATCTATCTATCTATTCTTTTCATATCGTTTTATCTATCGTTTTTTTTCATATCTATCGTTTTATTTCATATGTATCTATCTTTTCATTTTTTATACATAGTTTTTTCATATCTATCTATTGTTTTTTCCCTATCTATCTATCTATCTATCTATCTATCTATCTATCTATCTATCTATCTATCTATCTATCTTCTTTTCATATCGTTTTATCTATCGTTTTTTCATATCTATCGTTTTATTTCATATGTATCTATCTTTTCATATCTTTTTATACATAGTTTTTTTCATATCTATCTATCGTTTTTTTCCTATCTATCTATCTATCTATCTATCTATCTATCTATCTATCTATCTATCTTCTTTTCATATCGTTTTATCTATCGTTTTTTCATATCTATCGTTTTATTTCATATGTATCTATCTTTTCATATCTTTTTATACATAGTTTTTTTCATATCTATCTATCGTTTTTTCCTATCTATCTATCTATCTATCTATCTATCTATCTATCTATCTATCTATCTATCTATCTATCTATCTTCTTTTCATATCGTTTTATCTATCGTTTTTTCATATCTATCGTTTTATTTCATATGTATCTATCTTTTCATATCTTTTTATACATAGTTTTTTCATATCTATCTATCGTTTTTTCCCATCATCTATCTATCTATCTATCTATCTATCTATCTATCTATCTATCTATCTTCTTTTCATATCGTTTTATCTATCGTTTTTTCATATCTATCGTTTTATTTCATATGTATCTATCTTTTCATATCTTTTTATACATAGTTTTTTCGTTTTTTCATCTATCGTTTTTTTCCTATCTATCTATCTATCTATATCTATCTATCTATCTATCTATCTTCTTTTCATATCGTTTTATCTATCGTTTTTCATATCGATCGTTTTATTTCATATGTATCTATCTTTTCATATCTTTTTATACATAGTTTTTTTCATATCTATCTATCGTTTTTTTCCTATCTATTCATCTATCTATCTATCTATCTATCTATCTATCTATCTATCTTTCTATCTATCTATCTATTCATCTATCTATCGTTTTTTTCATATCGTTTTATCTCTCGTTTTTTCATATCTATCGTTTTTTATTTCATATGTATCTATATATCTTTCATATCTATCTTTTATACATAGTTTTTTCATATTCTATCTATCGTTTTTTTCATTGTATATCATTCATCTTTATCTATCTATCTATCTATCTATCTATCCTATCTATCTATCTATCTATCTATCTATCTATCTTCTTTTCATATCGTTTTATCTATCGTTTTTTCATATCTATCTTTTTATTTCATATGTATCTATCTTTTCATATCTTTTTATACATAGTTTTTTTCATATCTATCTATTGTTTTTTCCCTCATCTATCTATCTATCTATCATATCTATCTATCTATCTATCTTCTTTTCATATCGTTTTATCTATCGTTTTTCATATCTATCGTTTTATTTCATATGTATCTATCTTTTCATATCTTTTTATACATATTTTTTTTTTCATATCTATCTATCGTTTTTTTCTTTTCATATCTATTTATCTATCTATTCATCTATCTATCTATTTATCTATCATATCTATCTATCTTTCATATCTATCTATCTTTTTTTCATATCGTTTTTTTTTTTATCTATCCATTTTTTTCATCTATCTATCGTTTTATTTCATATGTATCTATCTTTTCATATCTTTTTATACATAGTTTTTTTCATATCTATCTATTGTTTTTTTCCCTATCTATCTATCTATCTATCTATCTATCTATCTATCTATCTATCTATCTATCTATCTTCTTTTCATATCGTTTTATCTATCGTTTTTTCATATCTATCGTTTTATTTCATATGTATCTATCTTTTCATATTTTTTATACATAGTTTTTTTCATATCTATCTATTGTTTTTTTCCCTATCTATCTATCTATCTATCTATCTATCTATCTATCTATCTATCTATCTATCTATCTATCTATCTATCTATCTATCTTCTTTTCATATCGTTTTATCTATCGTTTTTTCATATATATCGTTTTATTTCATATGTATCTATCTTTTCATATCTTTTTATACATAGTTTTTTTCCTATCTATCTATCGTTTTTCCCCTATCTATCTATCTATCTACCTACCTATCTATCTATCTATCTATCTATCTATCTATCTATCTATCTATCTATCTATCTAGTAAGATGTTTAAAGATAAACCTAGTAAACGCAATTTCCATTTTCTTTAGCAGAATTTATATGTGTGATTTATACAGTGACACTCCTTCAAACCGGTTTTCTTCTTTGAATACTTTTTTATTATTTTAATTTTCATTTAAAAATCCGTCAATAAGTCTGGCTCGAACATAAGCAGAAAAATGAATAAGGTTGAGTAATAGATAAGAATTGAAGCTATGTAACATAAAGGGAGTGGCATTAGAAAAATGAACAGAACGATGGCCGAGAAAGGTACTTATTCATAAAAGTCGAAAAACAAAGAAACTACAAATAAGAGAAACGTTTATGCAAAAAATATTTGAATTTGACTGAAGCGAAATGTTTTTTCTTTGTGCCAAAATATGAGATGAGGACATGCTGTCAAGAAATATACAAAGTGATAAATTAATAAACCATTTCAACTATTCACGTAAGACGTTTTCAGCAGAACTAATAAATCCTAGAGTAAATAAAAAGAGACAAGACTACACTCACCCGGAAAGACATTGAAAGTATAAAATACTAAATAAAAATCCCAGAAAAACGTATGAACCTTGATGAATACCACAAAGATTGAAAAATGAGAAATGTCAATTATTCACAGAGAATTTAAAAGGCATTTGAAAATATCGCAGTTATCCGCTACAATTCTTGTACATTTATAAGTCTATCATTCGTCTGTGCATCGAATATTGCTGCCACATCTGGTCTGGTGCTTCTGCTATTTGTCTAGAGATTCTTAACGGAATCCAAAAATAACATGCAACATTGTCGGTCCTGACTTGGCAACTCGGCTTCAGTCACTTTCCAACCACCGCTACGTAGCTTCCGTGTGCTTGTTCTATAAATATAGCATCGGTAATTGTTCTGATGAGCATACCTAGACTTTATGAATTTAAGCGCATTACTAGATTTACATTTAGGTCTCATATCTTCACAGTTGAAATTACTAGATATAGTTCGTGAACATATCGGTCATCATGCTGCAACCAAAGAAAATATAACTATTAAAATAGGAGAAATGTTAGTCAAAGCACGATTTCGTACTCACTGCAAGGAGATACGTAAAATACACAAAGTTATTATCATGCAAAGAAGCAAGCTGCATTGCATCAAATACCTTTCACCACATGAAACGCTATTATAAAATGTGTATAACATATTTAATAGTTGTATAAAATAATAATCATAATAATAATAATATTTGTAAATATTTGAGACATTTTTTCTGGTACAGTCAAGAATCCGTTTTATACATAACATAGCTTATACAATAAGCGAATATTCGAATTGCAAGATGTAACCGTATGACATTTCAACAGTGATACGCAGTCTTCAGGCCTGAAGATTGCGTTCAAACATAAAACAGTCTGTCGCCACTCGGTGCTGATCTCACTGCCCACTCTTGTATTAATGCACGATCTGTCACTGCTAGTGAAGGTGTCAATTTAATTTCTTACTGCATAATATTTTTACAATGTTTGTAGGTTGACTTGCTACTTATCGAAATTTCAGTTCGTGAACAATAACAATAATATGTATATCTATTTGATACATTTTTTCCATTGCTGTCAAAAACCTTTTTTTTATACGTAACCTCTCTTATGCGATAAGGCTTTTATTTGAATTGCTAACGTTGCCTAAAAATGCCAGGGTGTAGCCAGGAATATCTTGTCTAGCACACAGAAAACATCCAGATTTTTTATAACCACTGATAATGAATAAAGAAAATCATAACATAACATAAATTTTGGACAGTTTAACCACAATCTTGATTCGGGTGTACAACATGTGTTTCAAAATTTCGAAAAATACAAATATAAATAAAACTCAATAAAATTTGCACAGGATAGAACTTGTCGGTTAAATGTAACAAAAATTCATATATATATATATATATATATATATATATATGTATATATATATATATATATATATATATATATATATATATATATATATATATATAAAAAAAGGCTTAAACACTAATATTCCATGGTCATAATTTATTCCATTCGAATCGTAAATACGATCCAATTCACCAGACCTACAAATTAAAAAAGAAAACAGAAAAAACAACTACGGAAATAAAAAATAAAATTTAGAGAGAGTGTAAGTAAGAGAGTGTGGAACGAATGTTAGTGCTATAGAGAGGGCTAACAGACGAGAGAAGGTGGGGGATTAAAGTTTAACAGAGAGAAGTTTTAGAGAGGGTAGTCAAAGACGGTATAAGTGAGAGAAATATGAATGTTGTCGGATGTCTAATACATTAAAGATGTAAACGGAAACGATACATTTTGTGGTGACATAGACACACAATAGACGATCTCATCTTCAAGATCAGAAGAAGAGGTGGGGAGAGGAAAAGAAAGGAAAAAGGGGTGGGAGAGAGATATGGGGCGGGGGGAATTAAAACTGAAGGGCATTTATTAAAAGGGCCGCTGTGTAATTAAGAAAATTTGACAAAAATAATATCGACTGCAGGTTACAAATCAAATATAAACATATAAAAAATAAATATAACGATTATCTAATCTAGCAAGGACCTATATTTCTATGTTCAAAAACACATGCGTATACACAATAACATATACACGTACATACATACATATAGGCGTGTACATACATACACACATTCACACACATATACCCATGTACACATATACATATATATATATATACATACACACACATACATATATGTATACATATACATACATAAATACACACACATACATGCATATACACATACATCCATACACATCCACTCCTACATATATATACATTTACACACATATATACATACGGACATACACATACGTGCACATAAACATATATACATGAAACCTTACATCGCCATACAATTACATACACCCATCTAAACAGATAAACAATGTACCCCTATATCTATCCAACTATACATACATACATACCTATACACCCAGAAAATATCTCATTACGAAGATTTAGCAATTCATCTTGATTCTTATCATTAATAATAAAAAAATTTCCGCTATGCACAGATCACACCGATCGCGGAAGTTATTAGGGGTTTTAGCTCTTGATAAGTACCTCTATTTTAAAAGTGGGGTTAGTCCCTTATCCACCAGATCTCAGTAGTGTTTGGATAAGGAAATTTGATTTCTGAGGTATCTATATCTAAAAGAGCGTTTATGGTTGTATAGACGCTGCTTCCAATCACCGGCGGATATACCTATATATCTTTTTTTCTGGTTTATATTTTCCTTGTGGAAAGTTGTTGCCTCGTATACTACATTTTCATACTTACATTTACCCCCGATTGGACAATGGTCTTTATTCCTACAATTGCAGGTAGGGTTACTAGATTGAGTTTCATTACTATGGTAGTTTCTAAGTATTCTACAATTATGGGAAGATATGATTTTCTCCATATTTCTAACGCATGAGTAACTAATTTTCAGTGTCTTCCTATTGAAAATTTTACGTAGTGCATGTTTACTATGAAAGTGTTTATCAATTAATCTCAGAAAGAAACTTCCTATATCAATGTTAGAGAGCCTGCAATATGGTGGGTTAAACCATATTACCTATCATTAAAGATTTTTTGGCTAGAAGATAGCCTATTTATTCTCGTATTCACAGTTTTGGGGATGTGATCTATCACAGGTTTAGGGTGGTTAGAGTGGACGTTGATGTATAGGGGTGTTTGATCAACTTTATGGAAGGGTTTAAAGGTATCATTCGATAGGTTGAGTGTAATGTCCAAAAAGTTGACTATTTTCAGGTTGGAAGATATTTCAACTTTAAGGCCTAGGTATTTGAAGGCCCTAATTATCTTCTTATGTAAGCTGGAAGTCAAGGGACCATTGCTATTTGGGATAATGATTAGGCCGTCATCTCTATAAATTCCGACTTGGTTAAGGCTTACTACTCTACTCAAAGTGTCTAGAATATATATGCCCACTAAATCTGCAATTGGCAGAATCGAAAGCTCCCATAGGTACATCGAAACTTTCATTATTTTTCTTCACCCAAGTAGCGTCATTGTATGTAAGTATTGATCTTCTTGACGCTAAAATAATGTCCAGATCATTATCCGTTATTTCGGTATATCCTTTAGCGAAATTAAGCTTGTTAATTAATAATTCCTCCGAAATAGAAGGGTAAAAATCCAAAATGTCAAACCCCTAATAACTTCCGCGATCGGTGTGATCTGTGCATGGCGGAAAAATTTTTATTATTAAAGATAAGAATCAAGATGAATTGCTAAATCTTCGTAATGAGATATTTTCTAAATGTAGACATAAGAAACGATTCAAAACATAAACACCATTTAATAACATATTGTCATTTATGTCAGTTCCATCTTGGTTCAATAACATCGGGCATGACATTTTAATGGAATGACTATTATGTTTATCTATTATGTTTATCTATATATATCATTGTGTATGTTTATGTGATGCGCTATGTATTTAAATTTTTTTTTTGAGACAAAATTTTTTTTACAATTTACATTTTGATTTATATGTATATGTATATGTGCGGACTTGTGTGTGTATATGTGTATATATGTAGGAGTGTGTATATGTATATGTATGTGTATGTATGTATGTATATATATATGTATATGTATGCGTAAGGGATGTATGTATATGTAGGTAGATGTGTATGTAGATGTGTTTATATGTGTGCGTGTATGTTTTGTTATGTATGTAGTCATATATATCTGTATATGGGTGTATAGGTATGTATGTATGTATAGTTGGATAGATATAGGGGTACATTGTTTATTTGTTTAGATGGGTGTATGTAATTGTATGGAGATGTAAGGTTTTATGTATATATGTTTATGTGCACGTATGTGTATGTCCGTATGTATATATGTGTGTAAATGTATATATATATGTAGGAGTGGATGTATGGATGTATGTGTATATGTATGTATCTGTGTGTATTTATGTATGTATATGTATACATATATGTATGTGTGTATGTATG